CATTGCACTCCACAAAATCCCACGCATGACAAAACACCCCTATCACACACGCAAGCCAGGTGTCACCTACAACCCTAATTGACTCAACAAAACGCCCACGCATAACGCGTTCTAACACAAGTTAGAAGCAACATAGTGACCTGTGTGCAACCATTGCACTCCACAAAATTCCACGCATGACAAAACACCCCTATCACACACGCACCTTTAGCTTGAGAAAAAGACAAGACAAAACAAGACATATCAAAACACCACTCTCTCACACTCCTACACACCACTTTCTAACCTCATTAAGTGACCTGTGTGCAACCATGCTCATCTAACTAGGGTCAGCAACACCCCCCTTTTTGAATTAATTATGCTAAGTAGGTCATTAGAACACCTGTGTGCAACCATGCGTGACTAATTAGGGTCAGTGTGCAACCATGCGTGACTAATTAGGGTCACCCCCACCTCCTTTTTTGACATGATTTATTACCTAGTGAGCCAGCTCCCGTATTAACTACCTACTAAGCTATATTTTTAAAACGCACTTATTTGATACCAAACCGCACTGTCCACAGACAAATAGTGCAACGAAATGACGCTCAAGCAAAAAATATTAGCCTGGGTCAAAAGGAAAATTACCGCGACCTCTTTTAATGGCTTGTTTTTTTCCACTAATTTTGTTTTTGTAAAATGTGTACTATCGTCTTTCTATCGCTCAGAAGTGTCTTAGAAGTTACTTTTTCGCGATCCCGCCCTTTTTTTTTGTGAAATACGTACTACCGCCCTTCTATCTTCCGAAAAAGACTAAGAGGTTTCTTCTACGCGATACATGTATATTTGGTTTTTGTAAAATGTGTTCTATCGTGTTTCTATCGCGCAGAAGTTACTAAGAAGTGACTTCTGGACGACAGGCGATAGAAATATCGCCCTTTTGCTTGCAGGGTAGTGTCACAAGGATCCGGACTCATGGACATAGTAAGGACACTAAAAGAACACTTAAAAGAACATTGCATGGCAACAACAACAAGAATTTGAGGAACAACAAGGATTAAAATGACACATGGATATTGCATGGCAACAATAACAACAAGAATTTGATGGACAGCTAAAAAAAGCAACCGGAAAAACTGAGTGCGTAGAGATGGGGTTATGGCTAATCGTAAGGCGTAAAAATCAAGATAAATGAAAGAATAACATACATAAAGTGGCTACTATTATAAAAAGAAACACCACCCCCTGGGCAACTGCCCAACAACTACAAGAAGAGCTGGACTGTCTTATTACTAGCCTTATACAGAAAAAGTTACTAACTCCAGCTCACTCAGTAATTATGAAATTTCAAACCGAAATAAAAACAACACCTCCACTCCATAAGCACATACCAAGGAGAACAAAAACCTGCCCGCAAGATTGCCCGGGACCAATAGAAAGCCCTCTTCTGCGAAAGTACCTGCGCAAAAATATATGTGTGATGATCGGCACCGGTACTGCCTCAACCCATAGGCCCATGACAAGAGCAGCTGAACCAACAAGCGTGAGGGGCAGGCCGCCTCTTACGCCTACGAAGGAGCATCAGCGAGCCAACCAGCGTTGACAAGCTGATTCAACCAAGAAGGAAGACAACAAATATATCGAAAATATACCTATAATTTAATTACATATATATGTCGAATTACGTTCGGGTTCCATTAAAGCGGAGTGCGTTTCGGTCTGAACACAGGCGTCGATTTACAGAGAGTGACTATTCGTTCTTGTAACTGCCTATACTGTTCCTGCGAACCACACACGACGACAGCGCCACAACGCTGACGCCTCGCTAAAACGGTTCCTTTCAAAAAAGGACATGACAAAATCCACGAAGCTTGCAACGCAGCCGTGTGTCGTGCTACACTTTTTGTAGCGCCGCACAGGCAACAACCAAGAAGACATACCAATCGCCGACACGGCCATACTGACTCTAACAACTTAAACCAATATTTCCACAACGAAATTCAATTTTCATTTCTTAATATATGTAAACTAATTAACGACCAATGTCATAAAATAGTATCAGATCTCCTTAAGACATACCTTAACATAAACTTTATCATTCTGTTTGGTTTTCATAAACAAATCAGGTCTTCAAGAATTATGTTTCAATCTCACAAAAACACACATATTTTTAAGCCAATTGTTTTACTCAGTCCATCCATTCTCATGATCAAAACAAACATTAGTTTGTTCTGAACTCGTGCTTACATTAATATTACGAATCTCTTTATCGTCCACTTAGGCCACGATACTGGCTCTTTTCATCATTTCATTACTTTCTCTTACCACAGAGGCTTTCTTATTCTTTTTTTTAATTTCATTTCTGTACTCTGTCCTTTCCTTTTGGCCAGCAGTACTACATCTTTTTGCCACTTCACTTTCTACAGCAACTTTAACATTCTAAAGATTTTCATTTTCTGTCTCAACATTATTATAGTCATCACACACATTGAGCTCCTCGGGAACTTCCCCATCCGGTAAAATTCTTAAATCTTCGTGATTTGGTTTGATGCTTTTCCTCGTTTTTAAGTAGTACAAAATCTCCAACATTGTGTACTTTCGTCTTACTTTTATTAAACCGTTCTTTATCATACACTGCAGTAACTAAAACATTTTTTTCAGCTTGTGCTCTAACGTTCGATATATCTACATAATTTTCTACGTCACTAGGTGGAAGTAATCCTAATGGCCGTGTTACTTTTCCCAGTAACATTTCCAAAGGACTTGATTTCGTCACACGATTAGTTGTACAATTAATTGCTATCTGCACCTCTTCGAGCACATCCTGCCAAGACTGTGTTTCAGTTTCAGCCGCCGTTAACATATTTTTCAACGTGCTCATTGTTCGTTCCACTTGGCCATTAGCACCGGTGGCAATCAAGTGCAAGTTTATTTTGTGATCTGAACAAAATTCACTAAGCTTTGCTCCAGTAAAACACCTTCCCTGGTCAGCTATTATTCGGTTTGGTACTCCAAACAACGAAATAGCGGACTTGACAGTCTTTATGCAACTATCACTGTCCAATTTAAGGGTATGACTAAGATAGACATATTTGGTAAACGCGTTAACTTGAACAATAACATACTCCTTTTGGCCACTCTTGCCGCTTAACTTCCCTGTTATGTCGATGTGGATTGTGTGCCAAGGAATATTTAGTTTTGGGATTGGATGCAGTTCAGCCTGAATTTTTCCTTTGGTTGATTTAGACATTTTGCAAGTGATGCAGTTGTCAACAAATTTTTTGACGTATTTTGACATATTGTCAAACCAGTAAAAATCGTAAACTTTATCCAGTGTCTTTTCGAAACCTAAATGCATTATCGACTCATGAACTTGGTTTATAACGGACCATCTGAAAGCACGGGGCACCACCGGTAAACAGCGGGTTCTGCCATTCCTCTGTATTTTTCGGTGAAAAACCTCTGTCCTTAGTTCATATGTTTTCGCAATATCTTCATCAAGAGAAAAATCTTTTAATTTAGTGACGATTTCGGCTATGTCTGGGTCTCGACGCTGTTCAGCAATGAGCCAATTACTTGAAATTTCGGCCAAGTTAACTTTCTTCACCTCAATTACCTTTGGAGCAAAAGTAGTCCCTGGTGAGATAGGATTTCTCGACAAAAAGTCAACATGTGCCATTCTTTTCCCTTCTCTATACTGAATATCGAATGTAAATGACTGTAAGAAAACCCACCAACGCTGTGCTCTAGGAGTCAGATCTTGTTTATTTCTTGACGCCTTCAATGAGTTACAGTCGGTATAAACAGTAAAGTTCCTGCCCAACAAGTAATGTCAAAAATGTTTAATTGAGTTTACAACCGCTAAAGTTTCCAACTCATACGAGTGATATCTTGACTCTTCAGGTGAAGTAGTTTTGCTATAATATTCTATTACCTGTGATTTTTTATTAATTTTGTGTAATAAAATTGCACCGTAACCATTGCCACTTGCATCTGTATGTAATTCAATTCGATAGATTGGGTCAAAAATAACAAGGACTGGCTCATCGGTAAGTATAGAAATAACTTGTTTCCGTATCTTTTCATGTTCTGCTTTCCAAATAAATTTATTTTTGTCTGAAGTTAAGAAATATAACGGTTTCATCAACTGAAAAGCCCTTTATAAACTGCCGGAAATACGATGATAGTCCAATAAATTTCCTAAGTGCTGTTACAGACTGGAGGCGGAAGGGCAGTTAACGCTACAATTTTCTGTGGGTCGGGACGAATTTCACCAGCACTAAAACTGTATCCTAAATACTGAACCGATGTTTTCAGGAAAGAACACTTTGTAATATTGAATGAAAACCCAGCCTTTGTCAGAACATTTAAAACAATTTTTAATCTTTCAAACGCGTCGCATTGTGTTGTGGCAGTTATCATGATATCATCCATATAGACGATAACATAAGAACTTGCAAAGTCCCCGTCTGCATTACTAAGCTATCCGAACCATTTTTCTTCTTTACAACAATATAGGGCTTGCATAAGGTGAACAGCTAGGTCTTATTATATTACACCTCAACAGCTCCTCAATTTTCTCTCGAACTAAATCTCGCTCGCATCGACTTAATCGGTATGGCCTTCTTTGAACTGTTTTTCTTGGATCAATCAATCTAATTTTCATTTCGCCCACTTTAAACTTAGTACATGGAATGCCTTTTTTAAAACAATCTGAGTACTTCGCTAACAATGAATTAAGTTTTATCTTATTTTCTTCGTCAAGTTCGGTATCAATATCGGCTGGCTCAGAATCAGTACACAAATTAATTATTTTGGCTCTTGAAATTGTAAATTTGTTGGATGAAATGACAATATCAAAACCCTGTTTAAGTATTTCCCGCCCAATGACGATATCGTTTTGCATGTGATCATCGCCTATTACATGAAACAAAATCTCAATAAAATTGTCATTAATCTTAACGTTACTTAAAACTTGTACAGTACTACATATTCCACTACTGCCTATGCCTTTTAACATAACAATATTATTTGATCGTTTACCTGAAAACTTAGCACTTAGCTTTTCTTTCATCAGTGAGCATTCCGCTCCGGAATCAAAGGTGACTTCAAAAATGTCCTCTGTGGTTCATGCTTCCTTTAGGTACTGCAACGCTGCACTGCTCCACTCGTTTTTCCCGGCTGAATATCTTGTTCCTATCACCTTCCTTCTTTGTACATTGGGTAGATATCTGTCCCCAGTCTCCACACTTGTAGCAAGTTACATTTGATTTTTCACGTCGATGTTCATGTTGTGGCCTAACTTTCCACAAAAATGGCACTCGATCGAAGATTGCTTTTGTCGTTATGGATAAACTTCAGATTGATGCTTCACAAAGCCACTTTTCCTTTTATTAAATGTGAGCGCTTTTAATTCGGACTGTAGATCGCTTCTGGTTCGAACATTTGATGTGAAACTTAAACGCTGCAAACGGTTATCAAAGCTTGCCAGCAATGCGAGAGTCACGGACACTGCAATTTCTTCTTTCTTCATTTCACGCCATTTCGTCGTTGGTTCTGTAACCATGCGGCTTGCGTGCAGCGCGAGACATCAGTCGGTCGCTTTGTCAGCGTATTTAGAAACATAGCGGCTGGTATCAAAGCGCTGTATGAACAATTCCTTGAACTCGAGCCAGGTTATATCAGCATAACACACTTGCGACAGCCATTGCGAAGCGCTACCCTCTAATTCTGAACTTAAAGCCACAACCAACGCACTGCCTTTCAACGTATTTTCTTGTAATATAATTTTCACCCTTGAACACCTCGATGAAGCGATGGCACCTGCCTTGTCTGGGTTGAATTTGGGTAGGTGCACCGATTTGCTCTGCCCTGCATCAGGTTCCGTTGTTTTAATGGCTCGCACAAGAACAACTAAATTTTTATTTTGCAATTCCATGATGGCACGCCATTACATCCATTGTTGTAGGTTGAGGGCCAGATCCCACTTCTGATGTCGAATTACGTTCGGGTTCTATTAGAGCGGAGTGCGTTTCGGTCTGAACACAGGCGTCGATTTACAGAGAGTGACTATTCGTTCTTGTAACTGCCTATACTGTTCCTGCGAACACCACACGGCGACAGCGCCACAACGCTGACGCCTCGCTAAAACGGTTCCTTTCAAAAATGGACATGACAAAATCCACGAAGCCTGAAACGCAGCCGTGTGTCGAGCTACACTTTTTGTAGCGCCGCACTGGAAACAGTAATAACGGTACCTTGCAAAGCGAGCAGAGAGAAACAATGATATTGAAAAAATGCAGGACATAAGATGACACAAGATGCGTACCTCGGGTGACCGCCTTGAGGATCTCGCCTGGTCCACGGCTGCTCGTCGTTTTCTTTCGGTGCGTAATACCGTGGCTCCTGCGAACGGCGACCCCACGAGTACTCTCGAGGCTCGTCGCGTTCGTCGCTGTCGCTCGCGTTGCTGAGATCATCCTCGACGGTATATGTTGTCGAAGGTCGAGCGGGTCGTCGTGTCTCGCCGGGTTTAGGGCTCCACATGCCCGCAAATCGAGGCCACCCGTAGCCCCAGAGTCCTGGTCGTCGGAAGACTCGGCGCCGTCAGGTACGTCTTCTTCACCTTGGCTATCGTTGATTAGCTGGTCCTCTGCGATCTCTCCCTCTTCGTCTTCCGATGCCTCCGAATCTCCTCCGCTGTACCCTTCCGCGACCCACTCGTCGCGATCCGAAAGGTCGTGATGAAAAATCTCGGTATCGTCCGAACTATCCGACAACTCGATGACTTTATCCATCTGAAAGCGGAGACTAAACTTATAGATACGAGACCCTTATTGTTCAAGCGCTCTACCTATCGGTGCAGTGAAACCTCGACTTAGAATACTTAGATAATAACATTGTGTGTTAGTACAATTCAACTTAGAAATTACCATGTGAACCTCCACCCTGCTTAACCTCTCGTGTCGCCTCCCGGGGCAGTCCCGTCGTCTTCTTCCGCTGCTGCATTCCCAAAATCCTCAGGGTAATAGGGTTTCAACTGGCTGATGTTGGCAGAGCGTGAACAGTGTAGGGACCGTCATATTTGGGGGCCAATTTGGCGGCGAAACCTTCGGCCGCCTTCGAGAGAGGATGTTGGCGTAGCCACACCTTGTCACCGAGCTTCGGTCTCCACTCACGGCGTCGAAGGTTTTAATGGCGTGCTTGCTCTTGGAAAGCACGTTGGAGGTTGGATCTGACAATATCGAAGATTCCTCTGAGTTGGAGCGCTTTTCCTGCGGGGTCCTTAGGTATCACCGCTGATCCAGGGGTGACCTCGGGATGCCGACTCGGCCAAGTATCCGTTCCCTAATGCCTTCTGAACTTGGGCGGCGGTAGCTTTCCGTAACGGGATCAACTCCACCCATTTGGAAAAGATGTCATGAAATACGAGGAGCATGGTGTTCCCGCGTCCCGACCGGGGTAGCGGGCCGACAAAGTCTGCTCATAAAACGTCAAACGGTTCGCTTGTTATGCGGGTTAACATTTTGCCTGCCGCTTTCATCTGGGCGGTTTTGAATTTCTGGCACGACTCGCAGCGCTGGACGTAACGCTTCGCGTCCCTAAACATGCCGGGCCAGAAATACCTCTGAGATAGTCGAGGAACGGTTTTTCGGACGCCCAGATGTCCAGCCGTGGGCGCTTCGTGGCATTCTTGGAGGACTCGGGCTCTATATGAACTAGGGACACACAGTTTCCACGGGAAGTCCTCGTCATCAGCTCTGTGTCCCAAATTCCGGTATAGTTGTCTCGGGGTTTTCTTTTATCTTGACTCGCATCCTTGGATCCATTTACAGGGTGTGTCCACTTCGGCCATCTGTTGCAAGACTCCACATGGTTGCTGGGATAACGCGTCCGCCACCACGTCCAATTTGCCTCGACGGTACCGCACGTCGAACTGGAACTGTTGCCACTCCAGCGCCCATCTTGCTACCCGACCGGAGGGACTTTTGATGGAGTTCAACCATTTGAGGGCTAGGTGGTCGGTAACCGATACCCTTCCAAGTAGCACCTAATTTTTCTGATAGCCCATATGATGGCCAGACACTCTTTTTCTGTCGTCGTGTAATTGCCCTCCGTGGCTGTGAGTCGACGGCTGGCGTACGCGATGACTCTCTCCTGGCCCTCGATGTCTTGCGACAAGACCGCTCCTAGCCCCACGTCGCTAGCGTCAGTTTGCAACACAAACGTCTTGTCGAAGTCGGGGCATCCTAACACGGGGGCGGTGGTTAACCTTCTTTTTACCTCTTCTAGCGCGTTTTGTTGCTCGGGACTCCATGCCCACTTCCAGCCTTTCTTCAACAGGACAGTCATTGGTTGTACCACGGTTGCGAAGTTAGGGACGAACCGGCGATACCAAGAGGCCATGCCTAACCACCGTCGGAACTCCTTGAGGCATGTAGGAGACTAAAGGTTGGTAATGGCCGTCACTTTCTCCGGGTCGGTCTGGACTCCTTCGGCGCTAATCACGTGACCTATGTAAACTAACCTCCGCTTGAAGAACGCGCATTTCTTCGGGTTCACCTTCAGGTTCACCCTCCGTAGCCTACGGAAGACTTTGCACAGATTGGCCAAATGTTGTTCCTCCGTGGCGCCTATAACGATGATATCGTCCAAATAGGCGAAGGCGAACGGCTCCATGTCCGCACCAATCACGCTATCCAAGGCGCGCTGGAAGGTTGCGCTGGCCGAGTGAAGCCCGAAGGGCATGACCTTCCACTGGTACAGGCCTCTGCCCGGAACGGTGAAGGCCGTAAACTGACGGCTATCCTTGGGCATGACCGTGCTTTAAGTCCAACGTCGAAATGTATCGGCTTGACGTAGTTTTTCCAAGATGTGGTTGATCCTGTGGACGGGGTACGCGTCGGGCACTGAGTGAGCGTTTAATTGTCTATAATCAACGCACATGTGCCATTCACCCGTCTTCTTTTTGACCAACACTATGGGTGCGCTATGCGGGCTCTGTGAAGGTTCGATGGCGTCTTCCCGGAGTAGTTCATCCACTTGGGCGTCAATCACGCTTTGCATTGCCGTATTCCTTGGGTAGTACCTTTGTTTCAAGGGTTTATCGTCTCGCATTATAATTCGATGCTCCGCCACGTGTGACACACCTCGAAGCTCCTTGAAAAGCGTCAACTCACGGGTGATGAATTCCCGCTGATCGGGTCTTAGGTCATCCTCTTCCGTCATTGATTCTCCATCCTCTGCTTCGTCGATTTCGTCCGGCCGAAGATCCTCCAAGGCTCTTCCCGGTTCGTCGTACCTCCTGATCTCGTCTTCTCCGTGGTCGTTCTTTCGTCCTCCTCGTGGGGTCATCTGGCGATGATCCGGTTGTGCGCGGGGACCTCACTCTGCTCTGTATACATAGTGTCCTTATCGTCGGATTCCTGCTTTCCTAGAACCGTCGTACTCCTTCCTTCGAGTATCTTTTGACGACATCGTATCCTCTGACGACATCCGATCGACTTTACTTGGCCGCAGTCGGGGGTCTTCCGCCGACGGGCTCAATTTTACCTTTAAGGTGGCTTCTCCGCATTGTATCTGTGTTCATATCGCCGCCAAGAAGTCCATGCCTAATATCACGCGATCCAACATGGTTGGCATCACAAAGAATGGCATCCACACTCGCGTGCCAGCTAATTCCACGCGAGTGCGCCATAGCTGCTTCACTGCCAGGCTTGACCGATCAGCTAACGCTATCGTAGTGATGATCTCTTGCATCTCCTCCGGTCTCGCTACCGTACGAACGTACCCTTCACTCGCAAAGCTCCTCGACGCTCCCGTATCCACCGTGGCGTCCACCCGTCGGCCTCCGATCTGCACGGTAGCACTGATCAGGCCGTTGCTTATCCTTAGTGGTGGGTTCCTTGATGTCGGGCTGCTACTTCGTTCGTCTCCGCTGCGCCATCATCTCGGCGAAGACGTTGTTCGTTTCGCGTGGTATCTCGGCGACAACAATCGACAGTCAGTATATTCCTACGACCACAGTCCCAACAAAAGTTCAGGCGTCCATTAGTACAAACCCGTCTAAACTGGCCAACTTCTTCGCACCTGCTACAAGCTCGCTGGACGTCGATGTTCTATAGGGGCTGTCCGATCATTTGATGAGTTGCATTCCCTCCTTGAATGGGTACCTCTGGGGAAAGGGGTTCGGCGTCCGACGAGGGCTGGTCTTATCCCGGTCCGTAGCCCACACGCTAGGAATGCCTGCGCGACTCGACGTCAGCTGCCTCACACTTTCGTATTCCGTCGCCATGCGCGTTAATTGTTCCAGCGTCTCGAACTCGTGGCGTCTTATATACAGACGATATTCTGGAGTTCTTCCTCCTTTTGGTATCCGGCTTGCTGCATCTTGGTCCTTAACTCGACCAAGATCTCCTTAAATGTCTCATCCACTCCCTGGATATGGGTTCGGATCGCGTCCTCTCGTCCTCGAAGTAGCGTGGGGGCAAGAAGAAACCTAAGAACTCGGCCCGAAACTCCGCCCACGTAGCTGTAGTGGCTCGTGCGGAACCATCGTGCTGCTCTAACTTGAAAAATCTCTGACATGGCGCGGGGTACCTCCTCCTGGTTAATTCCATATGTTGCTATTTTCTCTTCCAGTTCGGCGATCAAGGTCAGAGGGTCTGACGCTCCGTCGAATCGTAGGTTCCATTTGTGCATTCGCTCGGCTAGCAAATGTCGGGGCAGAGTGATGGTTAACGGAGCTTCTGACTCGGTCGGTTTCGACCCGCCGTGGTTTCCGAGGGACGGGACGATGAAATCTCGCAACGTGTCGGGATGGACTCCTCGATGGCTTGTCAGTCTTTCGGGAGGGGTGTAGCCGGCGAAATGCGGGACCTGACTCTGGCTAATTTGGGTCATCTTGGCTCCCGACATAAGCCCTTTGTCGTCTCATAGCCGGTTCGGAGTTTCAGCTCTCGAGCTATACTGCTCCTGTAGTTGAGCGAGTCGTTCTCACACCGACTTTGGAAACGATCCTGTGCTCACGAGTGTAGCGAATGCCTTCTGTGTTTCTGCTAAGGCTTCTTCGTATTCGCCGTCGGATTCCCTCGGCTTAGCCATAGTTTATTGCAATGAACGAATCTCCTTTTCCTTCTCCGTTTGCTCTTTGGAGTCCTTCACTCTAACGGTTAGTAACGCTCGGAAGTGGCACGATCCTTCGGGATAAAGATCTTAATCCTAGTGGGTCTTTAGGCCACTTTGGTGTTGCTCTAGTTAGCCTCAATGTCCCTGTTCGGGCGCCGCTTGTAAGGATGCTCTCTGGCCAGGATATAACTCTCAGTCGGATCCAGAGGTCCTTTTACAAGAAATTTGTAAAGTCACTGAGACATAGGGCTAGAGAGTTATATTCGCGGGGCGAACGATGATTTCTGATCAGTTATCCCGGAGACTCTACGTCTATCCGCTCAAAGGGAGGGCTATTCCAGGACCTATGAGGTCACGGTAACATCAGAACACCAAGTCCTTTTGTGTCGGAAAATTCCACGGGCTGGACCTTCGGGCGAGGCCGCAGCCGGGTTCTATTGTACGTGACCAAGGGATGGGGCTTGCGAGGCCAAAAACCCAATACGCATATCAACACGGCTTTCCTTTTATTTTCGTATTAGTTCACTTAATTTTATTTGTCGTGTTTAATTGTTCCTGGGTTTGACTGCGCCGATTACACTGATTCACTAACCTTACTTCCTACGGCCCGGACTTTCTTTTTTCTGCGTGTGTTTCCTTTCTTTTTCTTTTCCGCGTGCGCGACCGTTCGCCTTGAGGTACCAGAGCTGAGAGAGCTCGGAAACCACCGTGTGGCCATTCATCCTTCTTCCCTTTGCCTTGCCAGATCGGTTTGGTATTTTCTCTATTTTCTAGTATTTTTCCCGATAATTGCCACCTCGGATGGTGCGGAACCAAACTTGACCTATTTTGGTTTTGCACCCCAAAAATCCACATGTTCGCTTTACACTTACTAAATCGTAATCCTTCTTTCATATGCTGCAAAACAAATCTAAACAAAAACATAACTAAGCTCACTTTATTTTTCTACCCGATACTCGTAGAGTAAAAGGGTATACTAGATTCGTCGGAATGTATGTAACAGGCAGAAGGAACCGTTTCCGACCCCATAAAGTAAATATATTCTTGATCAGGATCACTAGCCGAGTCGATCTAGCTATGTCCGTCTGTCCGTCTGTCTGTCGAAATTCACGTACTTAAACCCTGGAAATCGATTCGACAAGCATTTAGAAAAATTTCGATCTTATAG